ATATTTTTCAAGCGTGATAAATTTTAAAACTGACTTTTTTTTAATAGTGCATGCGAGCAGGTTGAAGAGGGGAATTTGAGTTGAAAGTGGTTGTTTCGAACTGTTACTCCTTTATAAAGAATTTTTTTTAATTACTATGTTTAAGAGGATGGAAGCGTGTTGTTAGCACTTTTTTAACGAACAAAGCTTTCAAAGGATGATTATTTTTGCTGGCTAAAATGACTGAAAGTCATGTTAAAAAATAACATAATATACTAATATCAATTTGAGGGAATTAAAAGAAAATTGTTTTAAAATAAACAATATAATACGTCGTTTTGATTCAAAAGTACCAGCTATTTCTTTCTAATTTGTTTTTTCTCAGAAATAATAACCCATTGTTTTTATCGGAAAACATTTCGTTAAACACTCTATTATACAATAGCAGTTAAAAAAATTTTCACAGTACAACTAAGAAATTACATTTTTAGCAAAAAATTACATTGGAAAACATTGTTAACGTATCCCAAGTCTGGTTCTTTGTGCCGTCAATCTTATCACTTGTAATCTACACTCGATCGAACAATAACCTACTAATTCCTTTGATTAGCTACAAATATCATTTGCACAACACTCGCTGGAAAAACCACCTCATCCGACCTATCTTATTATTATTATTTTTTTTTTCCTCTGAAGTTTAGGTTGTAGTACAATTTTGAAACGTAGAAATAATATCGATATTTTTTAAGGAGAAAAATGTTCATCAAAAATAATAGTATGGTTGAAAAACCCCAGTTAAATAAACGAAAAAACCGTTGATACAGTTTAAAATGACGTAACAACAATTAACCGTGAGGGTGAAGGGGAGGTAAGGGGGAGGGGGAAGGTCTGTCTTTGAAGTTAGCACAAAAGAAAGCGCGCGGAGAAGCAATATTACGCCATTCTCATCACTTCACTCGAACGGTGTAAAGACATCATCAGAGATAGAAAGAAGAGGAGCTAAAAAAGCGGCGAGATTACGTCCTCGAGGAGTATACAGAGGAAAAAGAAGCGGAGGAAAGGGTGTATACATGTAACACACAGCTTCGGTGTGCGCGAGTGAGAGGAGGAAGCAAAAAAGAGGAGAGAAAACGAGTCGCTACGTCAGGCGCCCAGAGGAAAAAAAAAAAAAAAAATAGAGAAAGCCCCGACGGTGGCTGCAGCAGAGTCTGTAAGAACCTAATCGCCCGCGCGCCACCCTCTCTCGAGCCCCTTGCGTAGCCACTAGCTCTTTCGCGTTTCCTTTGAGGGCCAAGTTAATAACGCGTATTTATGCATTTTGCCGTGTGTTGTTTAATTGCCCGCGCGTTGCTTTTAAAGGTCCACCCCCTTCCGCGTCCTTGTTCACGAGGCAGAAAAAAAAAAGGAAAGAAGAAACGCAGAGATTAAAGGGAGGAGGGTTACTCGGCACATGTGTGCTCTTCGATGCTTTCGGAGCAAAATGCGTCTTTGTGGGTGCCATATACGTGTATACCCATGTATTGTTATGTTCCCGCATCTCTGGTCGTCAACCACTTTTTTTCTTTTTTTTTTTTTTTTTTTGTTTCTTTAGGTGTACGCATCCCTGCCGTTTCGTTCTTCTGTACATACAAGTACTCCCTTTTCTTGAGATGGAGCAAAAATCAAGGTATTTCGTCGGTTGACGTTGCCGGACTTTTTTTATCTCTTGCAAGAAAAGTCCTTTCTTAACTTTCCTCGGCTTTTAGATGTTTGCGTGGCCTGTGGAATTCTTTTTTTTTTTTTTTTTTTTACTTAGAGGGAAAAGATGCACGAAAATTCTGACAATGATAATGTTTTCTTGTGTATCTTATCATGATTGGTACAGACATTATTACGTTTTCGAATAACAGAAAATTAGTAGTTTTCAAAATTTAATTTAGAGCCATTATAAAATCATAATATTTCGTACCAAAGGAATAAAAGAAGTTTTTGTTTTGGAGAAAAATCAAATTATCGTAGTTTTACCGTGAAAAAGTTAGGAATATCACAAAAAAATTTTGTTTCATTCCGTTAAAACTTAAGTCACTCAACAATAAAGTTCATTCAGCCAGTTCGGACGTTATACGACACATACAAAGTATTGCAAAGGCAGGGTGAAATAAAGTTATGCAAATTAAATGTAAAAATGTAAAAATGGATGGACAATCGTAGATATCAAATGATGAATATGCATGCAAAATATGAGCACTGATAGTTATCTTTATGTTTGAGGAAAAAGAGATAAATAATTATTCAAAAGTAACAAAACGCGCGGAAAAACTATATATTAATCTGACAACTGTTTACATTCATACTCCATAACATCAATCACTTGACCAGTAGATTTGACAATATTTTTACTCAAGGCTTTGAGGGAAACAAAACTACTACGATTAGCACTAAAGTTTGTGAAATTGGTTTATTTTAACTCATAGTAAAAATAAAAATTGTTTATCGTGAATTAATTGAAAAATGATCAGCAAAAGAACAATTTTACTACACGCAAGGATCAATCAATGATAACTTTTGATGATCATAGGAATTACGATGTATTAAAAAGTATCAACAGCTATAATTAGTTAAATAAACAAATTGCAATGCCAAATTGCATAATTGTAATACTATTGTTACACGTGTAACGTTTTTTCACGTATTTTTAGCCTAAATGTTATTTTAAACTGTAAACTTGGTACACAAATAATATTGATGATGAAAACGTTAAAAGTTACAAAGCGCCTAAAATTATCAGGAGAAGCAAATAATTTTTCACAGCAGGAGCTTCGAGCGATGGAATGATGGTAACGGACAAAATACACGAGAAAAGTAATTAATTGTTGGATCTTATTCTGGGAATAAAAGAAAAAGATAGAGAGCAAAGTACCGACACACAAAGCTTTGAACACAATTGCATTATTCGTGCAGCCCCGTGGTTTGGCGCAGTCGACTATAAACGTGTTAGTCAGTTGTTCTCGAGAACGACCCAAGCTGAAATTCCATTGAGGAAAAAATTAACAATTGAAAAATTTTAAGTAATTTTTATAAATGAAAAAAAAAAAAAATTAAACTTGATCTGGCGAAAAAAAATCCAATTTACTAAAACACTACTCTATGTAAACGTATAATAAAATTAATTTCAATTCAAGTTTGGTAAAGAAAAGGAAACAAAAGATAAGATCAATGAGTGTCGTTAACTCCACAGTTTGTGCAAGGAGTTCTTACGTAATATAAGTGACCAAACCGATCGATGTACTTAATTGTTGTCTCTGTTGAGTGGTTTAAAAATTTTTGAAGTTCGAAAGTAGCTAAGTATGCATGATGATATACGATGAGTTGACTTTTTATCGAAACTGACATTTATAGCTTTGACAATTTTTATTAATATTAAAATATGTTTATTTGTATTCTTAACAACAGCCACATAAGTTTTTCATTGCCAACCCTAAAACAGAGTCATGGGTACAAAGGAAAGTGGCTGTAGTGTCCGAAAAACTCACTAATTGACTCCGCCATTTTCGGGACCAACTGGGAAAAAACAAGCCAAGCGGAGATGCGTACATGTATTCGTGTGAATCTGTGTTTCCACCGTTTCTCTCATATGTGTGGTCCAGAAAATGGCGTTTTTAGTCACCATTCATTCAACATATATACAATTACATAATATAAGTATTACAAAGGGTCAAGGGACAGTTAGGCAGATGAGCTGCCATGTTCAGGACTACAACAGAGAAACTGTATATCTATGTATACTACTCACGCTACTTACAGATATTTATTTAGTAATATCTGTATGGCCACACTGCCCCGTAATATAAGGGGTAAGGGGCCCCCTTGACCATCATTTGTATCCAATACATTTAATCAGCGAACGATTAAGTATTCTACTCGCGAAAACTCGTGGCTCAGAAACCCTACGGACGTTTTTTTGTTTTGGCTGACGAATAAAAGCTCAACTCAGATTTCGCTATTTAAAATGACATAGGAAAATATGAGTTGAGCTTTTTTTCGTCACCAAAAACAATAGTTATTTACGTTACAAGTGCGGAAAAGAAGATTTGCGGTACTATATGCAAGTGGCCGAAATTGCGCTGTCGCAGTGCCATCTGTCAGAGAACCATGAACTTCATGGTTTTCAAGTATTACTAATTATTGATAATGCAGAACACAACGTTACTTATGTTTGTGTATGTAGGTATTCATCAAGTAGGTACTCAGTTGGTAAGAATACGAGGTTGCATTTAAAATAAACTACGCGTTAAGGAGGTTCGGTAGTGATAATTTTTTATGATGAAAATTTTTGAAATTTCGATATGTCGTTTGGGATAATAGTATCAAATTACAGCTAAATTTTTGAAGGGTTTAACCACACCGTTTTCAAGATATATTGACCTGAAAAAACAATATTTTAACATGTAGGCTTATGGAGAAATCACTTAAATTTCACATAAAAAAAAAAACGGCTAAATGAACTTGCTTTTTTTTTTTTTTTAATGAAAGAATATTGTCAAAATAATATTTTGTCAAAGTTTGAGAGAGCCCTACCACAAATTTCTATTAAAAAACAGCAAAAATGTGCTCGCAGCAGACGACTTGGCAACGCTGCTTTTGGAGCGCGCTTTGAAATGTAATGAATAGTAAAAACTCCTTTTGTAATTGAAAATTTAATTATAAAAAATTCAACCAAATAAATAAGTACACTGTAATCAGTAGACGACGACAACAGCAGTTGACGACAACAACAGTAGACGACGTGCCAGCAGCCGAAAAAATTCATAACGTTGCCAGACGCTCTCCCTCCCCTTGCCTCTCTGAGATTTCCCCCCGCTAACACTACCGAACCTCCTTAAAGTATACATTTAATATTATTTTTTACTTACTCATGAGGTTATAAAATCATCCAAATCTTACCCAATAACATGGTCAATTAATCAATGACGTCAACTACACTTGTTTAGTTTAAACAGCGCGCCCCTCCAGAGCACTTTGATGACCATTTCGATCTTCGATATTCGCAGCATATACTATTACTATTATTCGCATCGCAGTGATGTGAAACGCAGCTTTTGCAAGAAACAGCACAAAACGAAATTCGTAAGTATATAAGTAAATAGTATCAGTGAGAGAGAAAAGGAAAAAAAAGAAAAGAAAAGAATCATCCGACAAACAGAGAAAACAGGCCGTATAACAGGCATCGATACGCTCAACTGTTTCCCAAATACCCTACCTATACCGCAAAACAGAAGTGTTTATCGAACGAATCTGTCGTGTGTGTATAGTCAGTATATTGTGTTGTGCGCTGTGCAGTACTGCTTTGTCCCTTGTCATCTCCAGAGTGTTTCACGATTGCGTTCAGAGCTGCATCGAAGACAGATATCAGTAGTTCTTTTACGGCTTGTGTCTCTTTCACCCAAATAAAGAAATCGAATCGTCCTGACCTAAGGACTTCTATAAATAATGGCTGTGAAGGAAAAGCAGTCTGGGTCTTCGGAGGAGATCGAATGGAACGTCGAGAATGAGATTCAACTGTTTTTCGCCATGAACGGCCACAAACCTGTTGGTGAGTATAATTTTCGTACATCCTACTCATAAGTAAGTAAAGCATACTCTCATTCTCGTCAGTGTTTTACCCGATGACCGAGTTTCCCTCTTTCGTTTTCTTTCTCTTTCTTACGCACGTTCTACATCATGGTCGCATTTATCTAGGTTATGAATGTAAAACTACTGTTTATTATTTATGTAATTGCTTTCGCGAAGAACAAAATTAACGCCAAATTGACGCCAGAATTTTTTTAATTTTTTCGCAGGTGTAAACAAGTATTTTCAAATGGTTTGTATTTGGGAAAAGTTTCGAGCTGCCATTAACAAAGACGTATCATTAAAGGCCATTTGGGATCATCTCAAGACCATGTACGACCTGATGACTTTGGTAAGTGCAATTGTCTATATCTCTGGCTTTAAATAGTTTTGCTCCTATTATTCGCGTGCAAGCTGCTTCAGGCCTAATTTTATCAATCAAACAATCTTTTTTTATTATTTACTAGATACTTGAATATTTTAACATTATTTATGAATCTGCAGGATGACATGGAAGATGTACCTTTTCCCAGTAATGAGACTGACTTTACTCTACCAGAGAGTGAGTTTTCAGAACTTATGAAGTCCAGGAGAAAAGAAGAGACTGAAGTCAAGCCAAAAGAGATCAAGGAAAAGACTAAGGAAGTCAAAAAAGAGAAAGAAGTAAAAGAGCCTGCCAAGAAGGAAATTGTTCTTCGAGAAACCAAAGCTGTCAAAGAATCAGAGAGAAAGAAGGAGGACGTGAAAAAAGTTACAAAAGAGCCAGAAGCCAAGAAAGAGACTAAACAGCGTGAGGCAAAAGAAGTTAAAAAGGAACAGAAAACTACCAAAGGACGACTTAAGGGAAAAGAAGAAATTGAAGATATTGGTGAGGATACTTATTTATCTGCCATTAAAATTATTGAATATCTTTTGTGAAACAATTTTTTTTTCTTCCCAAGGTCCACCAACGAAAAAAGAACGCAAGGATTCCGAGTCAAGCCGCGAAAGTTTGAAAAGACCACCAAAGCGGTCAACAAGGCAAAGCACAGATAGTTCTTCCAAAGCTTCTTCAAGTCCAAGAGATACTCCACCTTTAAAACGTAGAAGAACCTAACCAATTTCTTTTTATATACAATCCAGTTTACAATTTTTAATATAATTTAAGTTTGTTCCTATAGTTCATTGATAATTTTCGTAATAAAAGTTGCGCTGTTGCTATTACTGTGAATATTACCATTATATACATTGTAAAGATGTAAGCTACACTGTAAATAAATATCATAATTTTTATAAATAAACTCGTATTTTACACTAACCATTAATTGTATGATACTATTACATTTCTCCTTCAAAAAATCACTTCCATTTATTTCATAAAAAATCAGTTGCTTAAGTATTGGGATTGGACAACTATAGTATTAACAACTCACATAGTGATTATTTAGCAGAAACTTTATTTCAAAATTAACCAGCACTGCTCACAAATCATTCTTTGATGAAAATTAAACTGAACATTCAAACTCCAACGAAAACTAATCGTTATCCATATCTTCATTCGATGATCCATTCAAAATACAATCAGATCGTTAGCTTACGTAGCTTGTTAATTGAATTTTAATTTACAGCCATTAGAAAAAAATGATTTATCTGCAACAAACAAGAAATAGATACGTGTTATCATCGCTGCTACCAATTAATAACCTCAAATGCATACGTCACGCACAAGCATCACGCGTCAATCGACCACTCGTTGAAGAACTAGCCAACAAAGAGATGCGCTCAAATGTACGGCAAATGTGTAAATAAATGAATAAAATTACCTATAAAATAAACAGCGCGCACAGGTAAGGACCGGAAGCTCATCTCAACCTTCTGGCTTCACGCTCGGACTCGAGAAGGGTTAGGAGGTCGCCATCGCGCACCGGGCCCTTCACGTTCCTGATGATCTGTCGGTTCTCCTCGTTGACGAACTCAACCTTCACCTGGGTACACTGACCTTGGGAACCGGTGCGGCCCAGAACTTTGATCACGCGAGCCAAAATTGCTTGTTTCTCCATTGCAAATCGTTGAGATTACTTTTCACGTGGTTTGACGCGAACGAGACGAAACTCGGAAAGAACGAAAGTCAGAGGATAAGAAAGGACTTCTGCTGCAGTCTGTCGTCGACACACACACCCACGGGTATTAGGGCGCGTTTAGAAACGAGATTTCTGGAATTTTCGAGATTCGCAAATTTTTCAGCAAATCGGAAAGTGGCGCCAGCTTTGCCGCGGAATTTTTGATATGTAGGGTTTCTTGTTTTTATTTTTCAATGTCGTTATACTTGAAAAAAAAAAAAAATTAAACTTGATCTGGCGAAAAAAAATCCAATTTACTAAAACACTACTCTATGTAAACGTATAATAAAATTAATTTCAATTCAAGTTTGGTAAAGAAAAGGAAACAAAAGATAAGATCAATGAGTGTCGTTAACTCCACAGTTTGTGCAAGGAGTTCTTACGTAATATAAGTGACCAAACCGATCGATGTACTTAATTGTTGTCTCTGTTGAGTGGTTTAAAAATTTTTGAAGTTCGAAAGTAGCTAAGTATGCATGATGATATACGATGAGTTGACTTTTTATCGAAACTGACATTTATAGCTTTGACAATTTTTATTAATATTAAAATATGTTTATTTGTATTCTTAACAACAGCCACATAAGTTTTTCATTGCCAACCCTAAAACAGAGTCATGGGTACAAAGGAAAGTGGCTGTAGTGTCCGAAAAACTCACTAATTGACTCCGCCATTTTCGGGACCAACTGGGAAAAAACAAGCCAAGCGGAGATGCGTACATGTATTCGTGTGAATCTGTGTTTCCACCGTTTCTCTCATATGTGTGGTCCAGAAAATGGCGTTTTTAGTCACCATTCATTCAACATATATACAATTACATAATATAAGTATTACAAAGGGTCAAGGGACAGTTAGGCAGATGAGCTGCCATGTTCAGGACTACAACAGAGAAACTGTATATCTATGTATACTACTCACGCTACTTACAGATATTTATTTAGTAATATCTGTATGGCCACACTGCCCCGTAATATAAGGGGTAAGGGGCCCCCTTGACCATCATTTGTATCCAATACATTTAATCAGCGAACGATTAAGTATTCTACTCGCGAAAACTCGTGGCTCAGAAACCCTACGGACGTTTTTTTGTTTTGGCTGACGAATAAAAGCTCAACTCAGATTTCGCTATTTAAAATGACATAGGAAAATATGAGTTGAGCTTTTTTTCGTCACCAAAAACAATAGTTATTTACGTTACAAGTGCGGAAAAGAAGATTTGCGGTACTATATGCAAGTGGCCGAAATTGCGCTGTCGCAGTGCCATCTGTCAGAGAACCATGAACTTCATGGTTTTCAAGTATTACTAATTATTGATAATGCAGAACACAACGTTACTTATGTTTGTGTATGTAGGTATTCATCAAGTAGGTACTCAGTTGGTAAGAATACGAGGTTGCATTTAAAATAAACTACGCGTTAAGGAGGTTCGGTAGTGATAATTTTTTATGATGAAAATTTTTGAAATTTCGATATGTCGTTTGGGATAATAGTATCAAATTACAGCTAAATTTTTGAAGGGTTTAACCACACCGTTTTCAAGATATATTGACCTGAAAAAACAATATTTTAACATNTTATAAATTTTAATTATGTTCATGCGATGTTCGCATTTATTATGTACTCCAGTTGACACGATGAAAATAAATAATTAATTTTTACGTTATTGTTCGAAATCATTATAATTAAAATTTCAGTATCAGAGAATGTGTGCTTGAAAATTACTTTTCTATGAACGTTAATCGGTTTTCTCGAGAATAATACATTCTCACTTTTTATGTGTAACTCAAACGTATTAATACATAATTAAATTTATTAATTGACTTCGAACTTCCGTTCCTATTATTTATCCTTTCACAAAAAGTAAAATTCACGTACTTAATCACTGGGCACAATCACTCGGTAAATATATAGAGATCGTGTGGTCATCTATAAGAAAGAGCAAAAAGGTGTTTCGTCCCGAGCGCACGCCATGACCCATCAGGGTTGAAGAGTCTCCTCTCTCGTTGGAACGATGAGTTATCCACGCTCCGTTGTGAGAGATGCTGGGCGCGTTGCCGTGCGTGAACGAGTCCGTGTCGAAACCATGAGCAGATCAGGGTTGTGGTTGTGTGCACCGACCAATTAGCAGTACTTAATTTCCCGCCAGGGATGCATTTGAATCATGGGTAGCAGATCCAAGATACATGAAGAGCTAGCAGCTATAGATATGTTTATGTATCGATTCCCAACTCACTAAAGAGCTTATGTCAGAGAGTCTGTGTGCATTAGGTAGCAGACACAAAGATTGTGCTGGATTATTTGTCCATATAGGTTATCTAGATCAAGCCACATTGTACGGTTGAGCTTCGAGCACGAGGCAGAATTCCTAGACTGGGTGTGGTCGAAGAAAATGGCTCAAGAGTGCATCGAAATGATGAGGGAGAGAAAGACGAAATATGATGAGGGAATTTTCGTATATCCCCTTACGCCAATCGGACTTGGGACTGATGTATAGAAATATCGTGTGGTCCCATCTCTAAGAGAGTGAAACAGGTGGAGCGTCCTCGAGCACGCCGGGACTCATCAAGAAGGCTGATGACGTGCTTCCTGTCTTGGACACAGGAGAGGTGTGGGCTCAGGCCGATTAAATCGCGCTTATATATGAATCGTGCGAGAATTTCGCCGCTTGACGGGAGCGAACTATTTGGGGCTTAGCCACCTAGTGAGTAGAGCCTGAAGCGCGAGAGATGTGAGACAGAGTGAGACGTCACAAATATGTAGAACGTTTTTTAGTAGCAAATCAGCAAATGTGAGATGTGACGATGTGACTGTGAACTTTTATAAAATGAAGTTCATGGCGTAATCAAGGCGAGTGCATTGAACTCTGCTAATGTATTATCAGCAGAATGTATCGTTCTTTGTTCTTTGTTAAATTTTTCTCATCATTTTTTTCGCACCACCAATCTTCACCATTAAATGTGTAGTGATTGAGAATCATTAAATTTGACTTTTTAACATTATTGTCGTTTATTCGAAACCCTTATATTATAGATTCTTACATATTTTTGGGTTTACAAACAACTTTGAACAATGATCTTGTATGTTTTAAATTTCATTTGTCGAGATGTAATTTAAAAACCAAACTGGATGTATAAAGTTATTCAAAAAACTATAGTACACAATTGATTTGATTGAAGGAATGTTTTTTCATCTATTGGAAAAGAATTTTGTTTTGACATGGACGGTTTTACTTAAAAATCTCAAGTTCAAATAGTGTGTATGATACATTTCAATGTTTGATAAAAAATAATTTATGATGCACTGCTGTATCACTATGACCTTAGTAAATACTGTGGACAATTTTGTTATTAATATCATCAAGAGAGGATGTGATTAAAATTTAAAGTACTCACACTAAACTTTAAATAACGAAAAATTATACTTTGCAAACTGCATTGAATGCAGGCATTCTTTATTTGCGCATGATTTCTAATGATTGCCAAAACTTAAAAATTTTACAATCAAATTTTTAATATTACAACTATGAAGGTACAAACACAACATTCATACTAACACAATTTTAATTTCCAATAATACTTGTTTCTAAATTAAAGTAGCACACAATACTTTAAAACTTTAACACAACTTTCTTTCAATTTTATTAAATGATCTCGCGTACATTAGTTTTATAAAAATCCAGGAAAGGCCTTTTTTATCATGGTCTGTTTTGGTTTTTTTATTCAACTTTAAGCAAGCATATATATACGTCGCAGTCATTACATATTTTCTATTGTTCAGCTAAATTCAATGTCAGTCGCATCCCCCCTTAGGTATGGAAATAACTTTGTTTTTACATAGTTGTTATAATTTTTCAACATTAGCACCATAAAAGGTCGACTAAAAATACTCAAACTCTTAAGATCACTATTAAAATTGGTGTTATTCTATGACGTTTATGCACACGAGATGCAATTCAGTTATTAGCAATCATATAATTTTTTAAAACACTTTACAACAATTTTTTCTTGTAATAATTACAAAAACACCACAGAGTGCGTGACGAGACGACAGTTAGACCCAGTACTTTTGGTCATAACGTAATTAATTTAATTAAGTCAAACAGTCGATATTTGTATGTATATGCAGTCTAAGATTCAGGAATAACTATTACAGTACACGATTAATTACATCTTACATTAATTAATTAAAAATATTATGAAATAAAGAAATCAACTAAACGTAGGTTTATTAAAAATTGTTTTTTAATGTTTCATTAATTAAATTATTAATTTATTTGTTTGCTTTTCACACATGAATTTGATGAAGCGTCGACTTTGGAGATGAATGCCCACACTGTCATTCAATATCTGATTTAAAAAAAAGTAATCACCTATGATGTGATTGCTATTTAGACATGTGGTATGTTATTATAATAACGTTGTTCTATATCCCAGTATTACATCCACAGTATATTTCGTTGCTGAAAGATCAACGATTGCACGGAGCGATAAACAAGGCTCACCCACAAAACACACTCCCGACTCATTTCTTCTACTTTTTGTCCACTTTTTTCTTTTATTAACTCGATGACTCACTCATTATTTTTATAGTATTGACACTTTTGTGCTGATACTTATTTTCGATTCAAGTTTGTCTCAACTTTATCTTCAAGATTTTTCTAGACTCTCCAGTCAATGGTCGATAACCAGTCATAATACCGATCGACAAAAGCTTTAAAAAAAACACCAAATGAACAGACTCTCACAATCGAATCCAAAGTCTGTTACTGCCACAGATTTGTAGAAAGCGTTTGGCCAGGTATTGACGCCGAGGCCGGTTTTCCTGTGGGAGCTGCAAAGCTCATTCCACCAAGGGACATTTGAGCCATTTGTTGTGGCAGCTGTTAATAATGATATTTATTTATCCTCCAAGAATTTGAATAACAGTAAAAATTGAAGGTTAAAAAAAGCTACCTGTCCAAATGGCTGAGACATCTGTTGAGCACTCAAATTAAGAAAAGGATTGCTTCCAGGTGCTGGTTGCAAGTTTTGCGACGTTAACATCTGACTCCATCCGCTAGTGCTGTTACCACCTAATGCCTGCATCTGCAGAGCAGAGTTTGTCACACCCGGCTGCTGTACGACAAAATTGTGTGACGGAGAGAAAAAACAATATTCCAAGCGTTAGTTGTCTAATTAAACATTTAAACACTAGAAAGCGCATGTGCGGGTTAGAACTGAACGTTGCGTGAGCAGATTGTATACTCACCATTTGAGCTTGCATGGCCACAGTGTTGACCATAGGATTTGCCGCAACGGCACCGAGTTGATTAGGATTCATACACATCTGATTAGCCGCTACGTTCATTTGATTGACCGCGTGCATGCCCAACTGCGACGGTTGGCTATGACTCAGTGGCTGACTGAATGCTCCCATATTCGTCATTTGCTGCTGCTGTTGCTGGAATTGCTGGTTGAACATGCCACCTGAAAGTATATTAAGAACGCGTAAGTAGACGTTTCAAGTAATTATCCATAAAATGATGGTCCACGCCACTCACCACCAAAAGGCTGACTGGGCTGAGTCGCGTAAAGCGCCATGATGCTGTCCTTGGTCATCTTGCTCCTCTCGAGGGGCGTAGGCGCCGGCTGATTAAAGAAGCTTTCCTCCTCGGACTTGACTGTTGAGCCGTTTGCACTACCCACACTGGTGCCATTGTTCGTCTCCGTGGCGCTCGTGCCATTTGTGGTAGGCCCTGTAGAGGAGGACGAAGACAGAGGCGGCGCCGAGAGGAACGACGTGAAAATGTCGTCACCGGAGTTGGAGCCGTTCGCGCTCGCCCTGCTCTCGGGAGCGTCGAGACCCAACAGATCCAACGTGTTCGAGCTCGCGGGGCTGTTGCTGCTGACGGCAGTGGCTGTGCTTGCGGACTGGTGATGGCCACTCGACCTGTTGAACTTTGGACTCGCCGAGGTACGGGGCTTGGGCAGTTGAGGCACTACTTCGGGTTTCTTGACGGGCGGCAGCGAGCTCTGGCTCGTCGTCGACTTTTGACTCTCTTTTTTCCGCCTGCGCTGGCGCTCGGCCTCCTCGTCCAGTTCCTTATCCCAATTCACCTGTTGCGCGAACAATACGTCATACTCGTGAAAAAAGAAAAAAAAAAAAATCCTCGAAAGAACGAAATGACCACTAATTCACCTTGGGCAAGGTCGGAGGCACCCACTCTCTGGCAATGTACTTTTTGTGCTCGTACTTTGCCCTGATGAAACTCTCTAGGCTGCAGTCGGTCTGAGGTCTGCGAAAACTGTCGGGAAGATTGGCCTCGTACACAGCTCGAGCGCGCGAATTGCCCATTTGTTGCAAGCTCTAGGGAAACAAAAAAAAATTTTTTCAATAACGATAAATTTCATGCATAGATTTGCGCGTACGAGCCGTATAAACAAATTATTTGCGGTGTCCGAATCAAAGCGTGGCGTCATCGATTCAACTATTTATCGGTGATTTATTGACAGCCGAGCGACATTGCGAATCGACGTGTGACACTCACCATACCTGCATTAGTCGATCGATTTTTTCCTTTTTTTTTTTTTTTTTTTACCATACACATGGTCGTCTTCGAGTATGAGCTCTCGCTCGACATTTTTTATACGTGCGTATACATAAAATATCTATTTGTTTTTCTCTAGCGCTCGCGACACTCAATTAACGCGAACGAAGCTTAAACGCGAACGTTGGATTTTTTTTACATCCAAGGACAATAAAGACCATTGAATATGACAAGGTTGCCGTAGAATCTGCCACAGTATAGATCAAATGCATGATGCCCGACATTGGTGCACGAGTGTACATACAATATATAATTATTTGTTGTACATGAAACGATGTAATAAAAACTCGTCCATCGGATGTAAGTGTATGTCTTCGAACGTGCAATTGTCGTGTAATTTATGGTACTGACCACGACTTGCTCTGGAGTCCAAGAGTCCAAGTTGACGGACTTGACTTTGCTTATGTGGACGCCGAGGTTTCTGTGGATACCGGCGCAACGGATGCACAGGAATATACCCAAATTCCAGCTGGCCCATCTTGGTCCTGTTGGCAAACGAAAGAATAGAACACATGAGCGTCAATTTTTTAATATGTTTTTATTTTTTTGTTTTTGTTTTTCAAAAAAAAAAAATTGAAGCAATTATCAACCAATCGATCGTAAGCGTTCATAGTGTAAACAGGTGTCTATTTGTCGATTCCCATGCCGATCGCAGCTAGCAGCGTAATAACGCATGATGTTCGTTTCAGTCGGCGAAACAATAAACAGCCACCGACGGCGGGGTGGACGTTATTACGCGTAGGAAAAAAAGCTTCTGGTTGAAATTCGCGATAAGCCGCTATTAGCCGCATTGCCTTATCGGAACGACCGCGTCCTTTTTAATGCAGCAACTAGATAAAGCCGCTTCGGGTTTTCCACACTATTTTACTATAATGTTGGTACCTCATATTTTCCATTATTTCGCAACAATTTTGGAAAACATTCGCGAAACATACATTCGTTTGGCATATGGAGTGTGGGTGGATCGGAAGTCGTTGCTTAGGTGGTGTACTTAGAAAACCCACAAGTGACATAGATAAGTAGATGTATCGATACACACGAATGGCCCGAAGAGGTAAATAAGTGTATACGTATAACGCGACCTCCTCTGCCTACTCTGATGGTCATAAGAAACTCGACCTCGACACTTGCAACTCGCCAATTGATTGTGTTCGACTTTTTTCTCTCTCTCTCTCTTTTTTTTTTTTTTTTTTTCGCATTCGTTAGTGTCTCGTCTTACTTGCACCTTTGCGTGTACTTTTTTTCAGTACCTCGTATCACATCGTTACAGTCTTTTTTTTCCCATCCATATATAAGTACATGCGCCTTCTCGAAAGCATGGTAAAAAACAAAAAGTGACAAAAGTGTCATTGTTGCTCGTGATGACTTTGCAACTTTTGCGATGATGTGCAGATGACAGTTACGTGAATCGTATGTATAATATATGGGGTATATCATTGGAAAATCGTTAACAGATCCAGCAATCCGCTTTAAATTTTTTTTTCATTCAACAGGCAAGCTAACACAAACCTTCTGATGCTGTATACATGCTTTGATCTCGGTTATTTCACAAGAAAAAAAAAAAAAAAAAAAAAACAAGAAAATGGAAAAAAGCCATGAAATCCAGCCAAGAGAGAACAAGCCCCTCTCTCTCTCACCCATCGCTGCGATCATATATAATCGTGGATCTATTCTTGCTGTACAGAGTAAGTACGGACAATATTATCGTCCGACGCTCGTCTCCTCCCTTCGTATATACGAAGAGTAGGTGTATTGTGTACGAGTAAAAGCCCTGTATACGTTTATCCTACGATGGCGAGCGGATACGAGACGAAAATTAATCGAGTTGCCAGAGCGTGTGCTTCTTCGAGTTCCTCTACACAATATATATGTATTATCTTTCTTTCCGAGCTTTGTAAAATATACACGTTTTAATTCACGAGTAAAATACTCATGCTGTTGATACATGGTACTGGGTTATAAACAATACTTATTGGAATGAAACATTAAAAGTATGTTTGCCGTAACGGTTTAATTAACTTTGCGTTTTACAAGCGAGCTGTAAATGAAAGCAAAAAAAAAACCTACAACGGCATTGCACGCGCTTTCTTTTTTTTTATACTCTTGTCAGGTCGAACAGAGTATGAGCGAGAGTTACTTTACAACACGTGGAATTGCGTCTAGGGGGATAATGTAAGAGTAAATGAAATTGCGGATATATGTATATACGCGTCTTTGGGTGTATCGATCAATCTTGCATGGGCGCAAAGATAAAAATTAAAAAAGGTGCTTGCACGCGATGATGCAGTTCGATTTTTATTGTGAGAGCGGGAAGAAGGGAAAATGTAATAATATAAGTCGTGACGTAGCAACAATACACGTAGATAAATGGTATGTATATGTATTCGAATGCCATTGATCGGGATCAACATTTTTATTTCGCATCGTCATCCAATGTATGTTATCTTTATCTTATTTTAATTGTAGTTATGCATTGATTTATTTATTTGTCAAGAATTATGTGTTCGATATCATCCAATCTTTGGATCAATAAACAATGATGTCCAATTAAGTTTGCTTTATTTAATAGACTCGGGTAATGAATACATTTTTTTTCCCCCCCATACCCACATCGGTATAATCATTTCGTTGAGTTGGATAAACTTTGGGTTCTTTGGATTTACACGTTTTTTTTTTTTTCTCTTTTTTTTCCTCCAATATCAGAAGTCACGCAAGAAGTAACAAAAGGGAAAAAATAAAGGGTAGAGAGAGAGAGAGAGAGAGGGACGACACAAAGGGACAAACGTCGAGAAAAACTGCATGTATACGCTTGAAATGTGCTTCTGATGTAAGCCCCCGCGAGTGAAAGAAACGCGTCGCAAGCTCGTCAAGCGCATCAGTCTATAGGTGCAAAAGATCGGACGACAACGCGAGCGTCGAACGCCCTCCTCCCTCGTGCGGCGTATCACGCGTAGATCCACCCACCCGTCCACCCCCAACGGCCCGTCGAAAGATATCGCAACGCGCTATAGACACGACACCCGCGATTTCACATAGGTAGCCGCACACACGCCCCCCCGAGTACGCAGCCGAGCCTAGGCATACTTCGCGAAACTAGGTCGTCCTCGGTTAATCGATACATATCCGCACGGAGCAAGGGCTTTTACTTAAATACCTCTGTATAATACCTAAGTACACCCGGAGAACTTTGACGATTATTTACCTACCTCCCTCTGCGATAAGGTGTGTGTGTACTGCACACTTACAACTGTGGAGTGATTTTATTCCACGACCTCTATCTTTTATACATTTACCGGCTTCCAAAGAGCTAGACAATTCGAAAGAATTTTCCGATAAATTGGCCAATGATCCGTGGATTAGAGTTGATATTCCAGCAAAGTGTGGATGTTGGTGGCCGGGTATATGATAAACCTTTTTGATCTAGGTGCAATTTTTTGTTTTTCACACGTCGATCGCTGCCAAACCGTGTAGTATTGATTGCAGTATTAGTTTTATGACGCTTCTTGTATAGGATTAGGTATATATCGTATCAAAGTGAGAAATGACATATCGCTAATAAAACTGTATGTGTCTTTTTTTTTTTTTTTTGTTTCCATAGTAAAATTACGCGTTTACTGTCTTGCATTGAGGTATGTATACATGTGTTTGTATTCAGTAGTACTTCTACGCGTTATTCAAAAATTTGATAAAGATATACATTTATTTTAATTTAGTTATTAAAAAAAAATAAAAATTATTAAATTTCATGCAGTATCACGATAGTTTATTACTTCAACGATCAGGATCAGAATTTTAAAAGTCATTTCAGTAATTAGAGATACATAAACAACGACAAACGTGACCGGCTCTTTAATTATAATTGCTCCGTTTACAGATACATAGCGTCCTGTAAATCATTTGCCAAATGTTTTACACACGCCACTGGCTCATTTTAATCATATTATATAACAATGACAACAACCAAGACTTTTATCAGCAGTAGAGAAGCTAGATATTATCACCTGTTTCGCGAACGTTGATAAACAAGCTCGTACATGGATGTTTGCACGTTCAATTTATTATCTCGAAAATTATCAAAATTATGCAAGCTATATTGATTCTCAAACTTTCGTTGTTTTCAAAATTAGGCAACCTGGCACACGATTTATCAATAATGACGTTAAAAATACTCGATGATCACATAAGTACTTAATGAGTAAAATCGAAACTTATATCGTTTAGTGTGCCTGATAACACATGATAATAACGTCCACGATTTCTAACCACTCCTTTCCAACAACTTGAGCAAAGTAATAACATTAGTGGAAAGAAAGTTTAGAAAATACTAGCTGCATAAGTGTAAGCAGCGACTGTAAAACGTAACTTACATCCTTACATGACCTTTAAAATATGCTACTAACACCGGTAAACCTTAAAAGCTAAAAACACCTAGGTATAGCTCATGATGTAAATCTAAACGAAAGCACGCGCAAGCTGGCGGTGGCGCTGACGTGGACGTCGTAACCGTAGCCTCTCTTTGACGAGTAAACACTCCAAAAAAAAAAAAAAAAAACGATGAAACCGTAAGAGCATTTTATTAAAACAGAAGAGGCTCTCGTTTTGATGTACAACTGCCTATATATTGTGTAAGTCGATGATGATTGAGGTGAATCGTCAATGAATCCAAAGATATAAGCGTAAAAGTATATACCTACCAAGAGAGAAAGTGGTGTGGTTATAAACTATAAATGCGTATAAGTACAATCTATACGTCAGTAAGATAAGTATAATATGGTAAATAATAATAATAATAATAATAATAATAATAATAAGCACCCTTGGCATCGCAGTCAACGCAGTACTTGTTGTCCTCGTCACGTAGCATCTGCGTGAGGAGGTTCTGGCACTTGTCCTGTATTTGTTTGGCTCGTTCCTTTTCCGAGCGCGACATCTTCCCCGAGAAAATATACCACTAGGTGCTCGATAAAATTAAAATAGGTACCAATATAACTTGTACACTCTACACAAAAATCGGCACAAATAAAAAAAAAAAAAACAACACAATCACACCACACGCGAGCTGAGCCTCTGGCAGCTGCTCCGAAATGTGCAGTGTATTTATTTCTACTTTCACGCACACTTTTCACCAACAAACCGCTGGAGAATTGAAGATGGGTGGGTGTATACTTGTGTACGCTTGCTTACAACGCGCGACTTGCACTTGCATCCTCGCAGTCCTCGCACCCTCTCCAAAAAGAGTCGAAAGGCGAGAACGAAGCGGAGAGAGGAAGAGGACAGTTGCAACGACATGTATATATAAGTACATATACCTATATTTATGGCATATAAAAAATTATACTAAGGCGATCCAGTTGACCGACGCGGACACGCTCCTCTTAAGAAGGAATTCCTTCTAGCCCTAAAGACAAAAGTTAGCGAATTATAGAGACTGATAAAAAAAGGAAGTAGGTACTATCTGCGATGACAGATCAAAAGCTTCAGCAAGAACTGCATGCTTAGAAATCAAGAAGAGCAACCAATGTGATGTCGTCTTCGTATAGTGAATCAATATGGATTATGCCATGTGTATAGTTAGCAAAACTTTAGCTATATCTGTTCGTCAAGTCGTCATGATTATATTTTTAAAAGTATCAGTAAACTTGATCGTTACTCGATTAAAAAAATTTTTTACGAAGAGCGCGCCAGAGCGCGGAATCCCCGAATGGAACAGCCGAAACTATCGCGGAACTTGGAACATCTCAATGGAAGCGCGGAACGAAGAAACTTTGTTGAACTGGTGCAACCAAAAGGTTAGGTTAGTCAAGTTGGGTAGTTAGGTTAGGTTGGGTTCTTCGTTCGACCGTTCGACGTTCGAGTCGGTTCGACCGGTTCGACTTATTTAAGCCGGCGCGCTCGCACGACCAATCAGCTGAGTCGCTGAATGGCCTCTCGTGTTCATTCATTGTTTTGTCGTTTTTTATTGGCCCAGCCAACCGACGTAAATGGAAACTGTAAAATGTCTGTCCAAGTGTCCAATGTTCATCCCATCCACCTCCATCGCGCATTCGCGCACTCTCTCTAATAATGGATTTGCGTAAAAAGTGCGTGTGTGTGTGAATTTTGTATATACACTTGAGTAACATACCAATGAAGAAACGACCTAAAACGACCCAGCGCCAGCGGCCAGCGTCCATCATCATACTTTAAACAGTCCAAACTAAACCAAATGTCGACGCCGTCAAAAGTACCGGAAGGACTTTATCTGGCTGTAAAGAGTTGTTCAAAAGTGTCTTTTCGTGGATTAGTGGGTTCCATACTACATAGTAAACATCGCCTTAGCTTGGTGTAAGCGATACAAACAGTCGTGGGCTGATTTATCGTGAGTCTTCAACGAGTTGGGAAAAATGCTTAGGACGAAGTGCCATGTTGACTTGAAATATATAGAAACACGGAGCTTTTATCCATTTAACTATGGTATGAGTAACAGTTTTGAGACTTAAGGGTCAAGCTGACTTGTGATTAATAAGTATATTTTTCTGTTAAAAAAGTATTCGAGTGGTGAACGATAAGCAGGTTGCCTTTTTTTATAAGGCAGTAGTTAGCAAAAATCTTTGTATATAGGCATTTAACATTTTTATTAGTGATTAATAATGAGTGCTAATAATAGTAGTGCAGATAATAACAGTGGAAAAGAGAAATCTGTCTCAGAAGCCACTACCACTGTGCAACAGACTGTGGCTCAAAACTTGACCACCATACAAAATCTGCAAACAGTGCCGAATATACAGAACATACAGAATGTGCAAAATGCAGTGTCTGGTAGTATGCAAAGCATCCAGACTGCACAGACAGTTGCTGGACAGACTGCTTCTTTGGTGGGCAAATCTATCTCGTTAGATCTCAATTCTTCTAAGCTTCTTATGAAGCCAGCAATAGCATCCAACATTGTTACTTCTGAAAATAGCAAAATAGTGAATACAGCAGTATGTATTATTCGCAAAATACGTTATTTACTTTGTATTTGATATCATTGTGTTCGTACATTTTAAAAAATAATTTTATTTTTTTAGTTTTGTCCTGGCTCTACAGTTAAAATAATCACGCAGAACACTATACTAAACACTATAGAGCGTCAAATTCAGTCACAAGTACAGCAAGGTACTCAGTCAACACAACAGATTGTGACTGGCATTCCATCGACATACCATGTACCAATAGGACCAGCTGCCGTTGCCAATATTGCAAATCCGCGTTCTAAAGTGGCAACTCCACTAGTAAGAACGCTCAATTCAGGACAGCAATTACCCATCTCCAGACCTGGGTAATTAAATTTTTATATTTATTTATATAAATGAAAAAAATGAAAATAAGTTGTGGTGGCTGTTTGAATTTCATTATACATGTGATAAGAGTATCGTATTTTTTGTGTATTTTTTTTTTTTTTTCATTTATTTTTTTTTTTATTAATATAACAAAGTTAAGTGAAGTCTAGAAGCTGATGCTCAGAGTGAAAAATTAGAAAACACTTTTTTACCATCCCTGTCTGGTGTTTAAACAATTAAATAATACTGTGGCAATTTTGGAGTTGAAGAAAACGAGTAGAAATATAAATGAAAAATTTTTTGTCAATTGGTTAGCCGCTCCTAAATCTATTGGAATTTAAATTTTATAGCCCACTGTGGAAGCTTCAAATGTTTCCCAGAGTGTATGGATAAGAAGATGGAGGGCGCTGATGTTGGAGAGCCTAGTCCAGGCGTCCAGCACCTTTCAAAAGTTGCTACCTAACGTGAATTCACATTGGCAATTAATTGGCGCTTCAGCTGAATTCAAACCCCAATACTTTTACAAATGTAGATGTATTAATTTTTTCAGATTTGTTTATTATTTTTGTTTGGATTATAGATTGTATATCACTCGACAGCAGAAAATTATTTCTACTTGGAAACTCTGGGCCCTAGCTCCTTGACCAAGAAAAAAGTTACTATCGCACAGTACTTTGTAATCCAAACATTTTATTTGATGTATAAAATTTATGTTTACGTATATCTCATTCATTCATGTGTGCCTATGTGCCTGTGTGTGCTTGTTCATATGTATTTAGTAACTCATCAACTTGTGGTAAGCCTCGTGCTCCTGTGGGAGTCGCTAATATTCCTATCTCAAGAGCCTCGGATGCCTCTCCACATAATAGTGCTGCAGACTTTGCTAAAACAGTGACCATTTACAAGTCTCGGTAATTAAACCTTCTTTATTTTACTTTTTTTTTTATTTTTATCATTTTAAATGTTCTTTTACTGCTTACTTATCATTATTTACTTTCTTTATTGTAATTCATTTTTTATTAATTTTTTTACGTATTTCATTTTATTTACTGTCTTTTGTTTGATCCAGCAACAGTTGTATGTCATAATGATTCATGTAATATGTATGGATGTGTGTGCGCGTGCTATGTAGTTCAGATTCACAGGAGCATGGAACTTCAGATGTTGCTAGGACACTTTCCAATGAACATTCTAAAATACCGCTTAAAAAAAGAGCATTAATTTTTCGGTAATTAACTTTTTTAATACTCACAATCACATTTTCATCGACATTTTCTAATAAAAATCCCAATGCATTCATGCAATCGTCTTTATCAGCTTAATGGTAATTAAAAATTATTTTAATGTTGCTTAAAATATATTCAAATTTTTAACAGAAACTCTAGATTTAATCATCATACATTTGCAATTACTTGATCATTCAGTAACGCTTGTTTCATAATCAATGAATCAACAGGAGATATTATAAATGACTTAGAGCTCGCAAAAATCTTTGGCGCACCAGCTTATCCAAAGCGTTCGAAGACAACAGTCAAACAGTATCATTTCAACCACTTTGCATTCAAACGATCACTTACTGTAAGTCACGAAGTCTTACTTTCCCTTTTTGTTCAGTGTTAATCCCGCAACAACAGCAACGACGCAATGGCAGACAAAAGCTTCTTCAGTTGTGTACACACAAACTCAGCGGCCCTCAGTACCCGTAGTGAGCCGTCCAGTGGGTCGTCCAGGTACCGCCACGATCTTTACAAGCCAATCGCAACAACAGCAGCAGCAGCAGCCCCAGACCCAGCAACCTCAGCAGCAGCTGCAGCAACAACAGACTCAATCCCAGTCGCAGCAATCGTCGTCTCAGCAGACACCAACGTCCCAGCCTCAACCGCTATCACAGCAACAACAACAGTCACAACCACGACTAGTGAATCCAAACTCATTGAGCGCGATCAGGCCGATGCAGACGACAGTATTGGCGTCGACTTCAACACGGCTAATAGCACCGATAATCCAGGCGCCGAATGCAATCTCACGGTTACCCATTCCAACCAGACCGCCCACCCCGCAGATTGTCATGAACATGCCACAAGCCACTCAAGCCATGAATAGGCCAGTCCCCCAAATCCAGGTGGGTGTGGATTTTTTCTCTCGATTTTTTTACCACGCCAGTTCTCATCAATAAATTAAAACCTTTGATATTATGCTTTTCAGCCCAATCCAACGAGTAGGCCTCTTGCAAGTGCCCCTATCAATCGAGTGTCTGTGACAACTCCAGTCATAGGAGCACCAAACAGGGTAGTTGCAGTCACGTCTGTGCAAACATCAATAGGGCGTCAATTGACTATAAACACTATCGCAGGTGCATCCCCTGGAAGTGTTGGCCGCATCGTTATCCCACAGCAAGCTGTAAGTTTATTTCTGACGTGTTTTTACTTATTTTCAAGATTTTTCAGTATGACTTTAACTCGTTACCTTAACAGAGTGGTACATACGTCATTTAATTGTTGAACAGCACTGCTATTGCTCCTTTACGCATGACAGTTAACATTATTTTACCATTTTGTGTATAGCTGGCTACTTCAAAAATACAAATTCAGCAGCCGCAGTCAACGCCACAGCAGCAACAACAGCCTCAGGCTGGGACGACCCGAGTCGTGCAAGCTGTAGCGCCTATAGCTAATTTCAGCTCAGTGGGCCGAGTGATCACGACGACATCGACAAACGCAACAGTCGCGGCTAATGTGACCCGCGTTGCTCAAACCGGTCCTACTTCTATTGCTAGAATAACAGGCATGTCGTTGCACCCCTTGCCTGCATCATTGACACCTGGTCGTACTGTCACGCCTCTGAAAGTAACGACTCAGACGTCGGGTATTCAGACAGTGCAGCTAAAACAAATACCTCCGATGATACAGCCCCAAACTCTCCAACCCCAACAACCCCAGCAACAGACCCCGCAGCTTCAATCCCAGCCTCAGCCTCAGCTCCAGCCCCAGCAGCAGCAACAACAACAACCACCACAACCACAACCACAACCACAGCTGGTGCAACAGTCGGGAGCGGCATTACAGCGAGCAATCGGGGCTGCGATTAATAGTGCAAACGCTTTATCAACTGCTGTTTCCACTGCATCGATCGTCACAAGTCAACCACAGCCCAGCCAACTGCAAGGGCAATACCTCCATCCATCCCCGCATTCAACAACTTACTATTCCATCGATGCATCTGGTAAATAGCATTACGGGAACATTCGTATTGCTCTTAGAAGCTTTTTCAAAACCACAATAAAAAATGTTTTTCAGGCAACTATTCGCAGTTTCGACCAACTTCGATGCCACCAGTTCGGTTACTCGTAGACCAAGGATTTGATGAGCCACTGGGTAAACCGAACGCTTCTCCTAGGCCCAGCATATTAAGAAAAAGGGATGTTGATAGCTCTCCAGGAAAAAGTATGTAAAAAAATATTAACATATATTTGAAAAAATATTGAACGAATAGCTTTTAACCAACTCAACGTATAATTCTAGATATTGCGAAGAATCTGGTTCCGGTGCTGGCCGCTCTCTCAGCGTCCTCAACAACTAGCCCTCCTAGTTCGCCTAAAATCGACAGGGATGGCGGTAATCACAGTTCAGGCTCAACAACTGTCTCGGCCACTTCCTCTCCAGGACTTGACGAGGAACCCGAACAATCGAGGATCCCGATGAACACGACCGTGGAGATGTCTCCGCGCAAGAAGCCTCGTAAGCAACAGCTCACTGGTGTCGAATTGACTGAAGCTCGATGTACCGATGAAGACATGCAGTTTATCACAGAAGAGAAGATCAAAAAGGAAAATATAGATGAGAATGTGAGGGACAAGTACAGTGATAAAAAATCAAGTCAAAGTCAGCAGGAAAATAAGCCGCAACAAACTCCGCCGGTCAAATCAAAACCATCGCTCAGTATGATAGGTATGATTTAAGTTTTTTTGGTTTTTTTTTTTTTTTTTAATTAGTATTTTACTTATTGATGAAAATGTATGTTTATCAGGCAATTCATGGAAGAATCAATACGGTGGAAGATTACACCATTATAAACGACCTAGTGATGTGAAACCACGGGACGACAAAAAATTATCTTTAACCGAAATAGCGCAACAAAAACAAGTGTTACAGAAAATCAATGGATGGAAATTGCATCATCTGAAAACTCAATTGGAAGATCTATCAGATGCTGAAAAATCGGTTAGTGATGCTTTTCTTCCATTTCTGAGAGTAAAAACGAGCTTAAAAATTAAAAACGCAAAATTTTTTTCAGGCTTACAAAACAGTTAAGGCAACTATGACAGATACGGAACATTTGCGAGGTAGAAATGACAAAGACGACGCTATATTGGATAAAATAAACGAGCTGTGTAAGGGAAATATGCAACGACATAATTTAGTGAGTGAAGGACTAAAAGAGTCAAACGATCAACTATTTACAATGCTGAACAAACATAAACCTCACGTTAGGAATCTATTACAAAGTAATTGTAATAAGAGAGTGCAAAAGAAGAGATAATTGGTTATTTACGTGTGTAAAATTAAAAATAGCTTTAAGTAAAGACTATACAAGTATATAATTACACATGAAGATGAATTTTGGAGAAATACGTTATTTTTATTGGAAAAAATATTAAAATGATGAAAAAATTTTTCAGATTTGAATAATTCTTAAGATTATTGTGAATAGTAATGAAAATGTTTATTTGATAAATGGAATAAATTTACTTTGTTACATTTATTTTTGGAATTTAGTATAATTTTTTCCAATACATAGACTCTATACATTTTTTCAGGGATATATTTTGGCTTTAATTATTTTTCTTTATTTTAGCTTCAAATAAGATTTTCTTGTTATTTTCAATGTTAATTAAATCATTGGATTTAGTGTCTACTGAAACTCAATTCAAACCATCTTGGTGAATAAACTTGTTTATTAATTGAAATTATTTAAAATACGTGTAAATAAAACAGTTAAATAAATATATTGTGATCGAAAATTTTATTTTTTTTTAACTTTCATACAAAAATCAAGCGAGACTTAAATTATAAATGTGCATGTTTACTTTTACTAACATACGTAATTATACGGATATGCATCTTTATGCATGCACACACACATAAAAATTCGTTTTTTTTTTCTATTAAGCATAAACATTTTTTATGTTCTGTGGCTATTTTTACGCGCACTTTTTTTATCCACAGTCACGAAGAAGTTGATTACCCGCGCAGTTTAAAATCATTATTTTTATTTAAAAAATTGAGTTATAAGTGTGCCCCTATCAATCGAGTGTCTNTAATAAAAAAAAAAAAAAAAAAAAAAAAAAAAAAAAAAAAAAAAAAAAAAAAAAAAAAACGAAAAGAATCACCAATGGTACTTATACGGAAAAACTGAGTTCCGCGCACTCCCGCGGGTCCAAAAACACACTCGCTCCAAACTTGTAAGATGTTGTAACGCGTATCGCGCAAAGTGTTAAACACTATACGTAAAGTACGTGCACTTGCAAACCGAAAGTTACAGAGATGGATACACAAAAGCCGGGGAGGTGGGGGGGAGGGGTCATCTCTATATACTTGGTCTAGAAATTCTAAATCCGACGCGCCTTACCCGCAATATAATTATATATACACACGTAAAACTGGGCGCCTCTGAAAACGTGTTCATATACCTGTATGCGTCATTTGGGGCACGCGTGCCGATCGACGCGTACAGGCACATATATATATACACGAGCACGAGCGAGCTTCTCCGAGGGAGAGGCCAGACTGACTCCTCGAGCCAAACACTCGTACATCACGCAACGACCTAAACTTGCATAGAGAGCGTAGAGAGGGAGCGCGCGCGCGCCTCGCCTTACTTGCTTATATATAATGTTCACATGGCATGCATCATTGCTTTACACAGTTGATTTAAATATTATTAAAATTTCATTGCAATAAAAAATTAACATTAATCAATACTTATAAATTAAAAAACAGTTTGTATTTGATACCATTATGCAAATGCAAAAAATATACTTTTTATTGAAAGAGTTTGGTACACAAAAGTCTTGATTTTGAAACTCTTACATCATTTAAATAACGAGATAATCTTTTTGGTGTGAAATAATTATTAATGGTAAAAATCGAGACTTTAAACAATAGTGAATAATATAACATCCTGAACATAGATTGTACATAATATACATATTTATGTAAAAAAAATACTTTGTACAAGAATTATACAATGCCTTTTTACAAATTCGTAACAACATAAACTTCTGCAATAACAATATAATAATCAAATATATATGTCGTAGATTTTTCAACGAAATGTTACTTGACTTGACTTTTAAAACGATTGTAATTTTCTTGAATAAAAAGGAACTATGACGCGTCTAAGTATAAAAGCTTTTAAAAAAAATGACACACTTGGAAAATAAGTATCTTCGTGGTCCCTGAACCAGAACCGCAAATTTTTTCCCGACACTCAGCATATTGTGTATGCTTTTTAGTTTCGTTTTAGTTGCTAATCGTAGGAAAATTTAATTCTTTATCGCGAGAAAAAAAAAATGTTTAGTTGCATTATCATTGCAAAATCTATTTCGCATCACAATGCAAGTCAATAATGAATAAAAAGGTCAAAGATAATAGTAAGTTACGTTGACAGAGTGTATAAATATATATATATAAGGCACATAAGACGTTACAAAAGTCATTATAACGCCCGAAATTGTGTAGTAAAAGTCATTGTTGTATAAAAATAATTTCATAAAAACTATCGAAATGAATTGTGCGTTGTGTCAAACATTGTAAAAATGTACTCTGACCGTTCGTATTACACGTACAAACCTTTAAAACAACGAAACTGCTCCTAATCGATTGTTCTTAAAGTTTTACGGGCATATTGTTCTTCAAAAGTATACTTTACACTATTGAAAATTTTATTCGACATACGGTACGCGCGCGTGTGAAAAGGTTCAGGGATGACATTGGTGCTGTGCAAGCGATAATAAAATATACATATTTTACGTATATATAGGCAGCGTACCCCCCCCTCCTTTCGAATCATTACATTCAACGGTTTATTGTTTATTTGTCATACGTAGATATTATTGAAAATATATGATGTACACACGCATCTTATATACTCATTTGCATTTAGTGCAAATTCGTGTTACGTTGCGTTGCTTATATATTTATGGGTAAATTATCGGGCACTTAGCAATTCGTTTCAAAGTCTCGTTAGAGCTTTTACAGGGTGCGCGTGTAAAAACGAGTCATTTAAAATACAAAGTGTTTCGTGAGATAACCGTGAATAAAAGAGCAGAACGATCCCGTGTATGTTATAAAAGACAAATGTTTTAAGTAACATGGTTTTCAATTAATAATAAACCCACACTCACATATACGAATCTGAGATACTTAATTTTCAATTGAGTCTTGGATGTAAAATACATATATATATATACAAGGGCTGAAAATTTGCGAACATACTTCACTCTGTCGTGTACTCGTATTCATGACATATGAACTTTTAACCGACCTTGGACACTATTTTTCTTTTGTCATTCAACTAATTTGCCTTTCGGACTGAATTTCAAGGCCAAAGTACAAAGACACATTGTTATTTATTTATCTTTTTTTTTTTCCCACTCGTAATAAATATTTCACGGCGCATCGACGACCACGTGCACTGTAACAAAATATACCCACACTGTCTCCGTTAAGGCTTACATCAACGCTTTTGACAAAAATTTCTCCTGCTCATTACGCTATATGTACACACACACACGCGCACTTCGAGCAAAATATATGTATGTATGTTTATATTCGTACGTATATATTTATATGTACAACATTTTAACACACTATGCGCGCGGAATCAGGCGGAATACGTGTATCGGTCGGCAAGTGATGAAAATAAACTCTGAGCTGATCGACGAGCATATATACTTACGTATATGTATAAGTAGAACGGAATAACACTTGTGCGAAGAATGTCGTCTTTCTAATACTATTGTAACAGTAGCCGCGAGCACATTTGGGCGTGATAAGGATATGCGAAGGAACACCGTTTCAAGAGCGTTTTTGGGCCCACTTCATGTCGTCGGCCCGGGGCTTGCAACCGGTCAGCCTCTCGATGCCGCACTCGAGGACGTGCCAGAAGCGCAGCTTTTCCAGGGGCCAGTTCAACCAGCCCGTCGTTATGCAAAAGTACGTCTCGTGTGGGGCGACGTGGTGCACGCGGTGGTGCCGCCTCGGCAGGATTATCCGGTGCTCCTGCAGCCAAACGACGAACGTCGGCAGCCCAAAGTAAGTGTGCGACCACTTGTGAATCTACAACGATTTTCATTGTTTATTGTTTCAGCTCGCGATTTGGCGCCACGTGCGATCGATTGGGCCTACCTGATTCGTCATTGCTATGAATATCGTGAGCTGGTACCAAAAGCAGATCCAAAAAAATCGTCTCTGGATTTCCGGCTCCGGCAGGACGACCAGGTCGTACAGGATCTTGCAGAGCACTGGTATGGTGACCGCGAACGTATCGCCGTTCGTCTCGATGAAATCGTGCCTGGTGATGCTCGTGGGATCTATGTGGTGTTCCCTGAATGGTCGGAGGAAATTCTGAAAGTCAAGGGGTGGTATCGAGAGAAAACCTTGGAAAATTTAATAGCTTAATAGCACACAAGTGCCGATTACGTACCTTTCCTATGATCGGTAGCTCGATCGATCCCCACGTGTCGGCCGCCCAGTGGGCCAGACCCGAGATGAAATCGGTCGACAGCATGCTCAAGAACGTGCATATCATTATGAGGCTCAGGTTTTCCAGTCGTATCCGCACGAGGATGAAGAGAAAGACGAGCGACATGAGGACCACGGACACGATCACGCAAATCACTTCTTGGATCCTTTTGCCTGTGAAAAGAGAGGGTTGAGAGAAACACCTATAGGAAGAGAAAAAGGCAAAGCGAGAGTCGAGTGCTTTGGCTCACTTCCGCTGTAGAGGCTCGCTAGTTCCTGGGCACCCTTGTGATTCGGGCCCCACCTGGGCACCGTCCTGTCCTCCGTCGAGCTGCTCGGCACCACCGAGTTGGAGTTGGGGTCGTCCTCGAGCATCGAGTTCTCGTAGATCTGGCGCTCGGTTTTCACGGGGGCCAGCAGATTCGAGGCCATCGTGCAAGCGACCGAAGCCGCCTGGCCCAAATGCGGCATGGCCGACGCCTCCATCGTAAAGTATCAGGCTCGCGAGGTGATTGATAAATAATAGGATATACGGCCGCACGAATCAACGACTTTTTCGTAGATAATCGAAGTTCACGCGCAAAAGTCCAGCCGGGGACCTTTTATTTACCATGTTACATCCGCTATATGTATATGTAAAACGATCAATTTGACCCATATACGTACGTATATGTATTATAAAATATATCGACAAGTAGTGCGTCCAGCGCGTTTTCTTTGGGTAATACTAAACAACTTGGCTTTCATTTCCGAAGTTGCGCTCCTCCGGCATCATCCGTGTAAAATGGCACGATCGTCGCGGTAGTCATAACACCTACAGATCCTCCCGGTATCGCGAGGACGTGCGGCAACGAGGATGCATCGAGTCGGAGCTCTTCATTGTGTTTGACAAAAGTAATTTGGAATTTTTACGTCTAGGTTCCAATGGAGTCAGTGGTGTTTTGTACTCGACGGCGTCGCTTTGGACAACGAAGATCCTGCGTCCATGATGCCGATGGCACTGGCGGTGGTACTTACGTATCTGTAACAATCAACAGAACGATCATTGAGGAAATAATAATGAACGTCGTCGTCGATGGATTTTTGCTCGCACTTCGGTCTCTTTGACAAAGTGAAGTAAACTAAAGCGCAAAGTATATATATATGAATGGACGCGCGGCGCACTTCTCGGCCCTTTTTGAATCGACAATCGGTCGGTTTGAACCAGTTTCGCGGCAGTTCGTTCACCTTCTAAATTGTACAAATACAGTGAAGTCGAGTTGAAACTAGACCTCAGTCCAGTTCTACGTTAACCAAGTGTAAATATATACACGCGCGCACGGTACATCACCTCTATATAATTTACCCGTATAAATTTCTCAAGTCCGCACATTTACTGTATGATAAACATGTAACGTGTACACGCACGTCGCGCAATTATCAATGGTTTTAACACGTCGATGCGCGTGTCTCTTGTTGAAAATTATTATTTTAGAGCACTATTTTACGCGCACGCGGGCACGAATGAAGATAATTAACGAGTTATCGCGTGCACTGCGCGCGTATTGGTTGGGAAAAAAATAAAAATAAAAATAAAAAATAAAAAGTTGAAACGTGTAATTAAAATACCATTATTCCCGAGGCAATAACAACTAACGACAACAGCCTGTTCGTATCATTGAAATTATTGTAATTGCTCTCGTATAGGTACAATTTTCCAATGAATGAAAAAAGGAAAGTTTATAATTTAACGAGTTCAGCTAAAACCGCAAAATTCATGGGAGTCGCATCTTACGCGTATGTTGGTTCAAATTGTAATTGTCATTGGTAAAGTTATGATTTGGTGTAACGTGAAACAAAGAGTCGGTTCTTCTGAGGTTTCGCGTTACGGTTTAAAGTCGCCATAAAAGCGTCACTTGCTGTGCGGCGGTGTGCTTGAAATTCCAGACCGACACCCCGACCTAGTGAACACAAATGGGGGAAGAGAGGACGAGAGAGGCGGACGTATATACGCACGGTCGACGTCACCGCAACGGCGCTCTCCATTGACGAAACGAAGACGAATGGAAGATGAAGCGAAAAATAAAAAAATAAAAAAAGGCGCTCCTCGTCTCTGCACCCAACGAATGGAGCACTGCGTGTATTGTACTTGACGGATGGTGTTTCGAAACGGTGAGCCAGTGAATCTGGTTTCGGCTGAATTTTCGAAGATGTACGCGGATGTTTTCGTGGTAACGTAAGATTTAGTCGAAACGAGCTTGAAACCGAGGGTTTCGGGGTTCCTTTTTTTAGGTCACCGACACCATATTCACCACACGTTACACAACCACCAAGATGTGAGATGTTACTTAAGATCACCGTTTAACCCGAGCAACCATCAAAACACGATTCCCAAAATTTTTTGGAAACTAGGACACCAGCCCATCGGCCATCCATTACTCGGCAATTCTTGTCACACGTTGCAAGTTCATACATTTTCAGAGGCCAACAGCGTATCTGCGGCACGTAATTCGGTTGGGTCCGATTTTTCACTAAAACGTGCTGGATTTTCCTTTTCACTTTGTGGTCTGAAAGGCCAATGGACCGAGGAGCCAAAAACGGAGGTAGAGAATAAAAAAAAAAAAGTGCGACACCTGTTCTCGCTTCGTATCGTTTTCTCTTCGATCCGCAATCCAAGTTTTAATTTCACAAAAAAAAAATCGCGCTACAACCCGATACACGATTTTTGTTTTTTCTTTTTTTCTTCTGATCTGCTATGGAAGCGGGTGAAAAATTAACCAAGTGATGTATGCCGCAGCGGTGCGTGTATACATATTAGAAGAGAATGCGGCGAAAAGGCGCTTTGGCTCGATTGCAACTCTACCTCTCTCTCTCTGCTACATACACAGGCTGAAAGAACACTTGTGCGCATTTATATACCCACACATGCGCCTGTGCGACTAGAAATTCCTCAACCACCAGGCAGTGCTTGCAACAAAAATGCGCTATTTTGTTGACTCTCATTATCAAACGCTCATACGACCGATCACACGCGCGCGCGACCGCGTACATGCACGAGGGAGAGAGATAAGTATCGCCGATCGTCACGTAATTTTTTTGCCGTGCAGCGGACGATTCGCGGGGAGATAGAGCCGAGAGTGACCTGTTGAGATGAGTCTAGGCCCACGAAGAAGAAGACAAGATGAGATATAATAACATGACACCCATACCTATATATGCTTGTTTTATACACACCTATAATATTATCACGCGAAAAAGGGGAGCACTCGCGCCTTTGCGAGACTTGCCAGGAGTTTCGACTATTCTTCATCACCCCTCCCCCAATGTATCTATTTATTTTTGTTTTCCAATAATCTTACGAACGAAAATCGATGATTTTCAAAGCATGGGGGCGAACCGAGCAACATATATTATTCAACAAAGCACTCAAATACAAAGTGCAATACGAGATGGTGGGAAAAAAAAAAAAAAAAAAAAAAAAAAAAAAAAAAAAAGGGAGTAATCAAAATCCTTGCGCATCATCGGCACACTTGTATCGGTACATAGTTCCAATAAACACACGTGCATCGGATCAGATGACGCCTCGAGGAGGGAGATAAAGAGAGATCATAGAGCGCGGCGCGCGACAGAGGAGACGAAAATAAATATGACATGGAGAAAAAGAATACGGAAAATTCGTTGACGGCGAGAAGTAGGGTGAAAAAAAAAAAAGCTCTACAGGTCCCTCTCTCTGCGCGTCGCGCTTTCGGGACTATCGTGTGTCCCACTATAGCTTGTAATGTACGTATTTTCGTCTTTCTCCTCTTACTTTACCCGCCAGCCGCGACATGATTGGTATGCGTTATTGCAAGTTAAATCGATTCCTGCAAGCACGAAAAAAAAAAAAAAAAAAAAAAAAAAAAAAAAAAAAAAAAAAAAAAAAAAAAAA